AACTTTTGTTGCAAAAATTAAAGCCAAAAATGTCGATCACAAAGATTTGGTTTTGGAGAGGCTTAAATCAAGGAAATTTAATCACATTGATTACATTGACGATATATTTTTACCATATGTGAACTCGTTTTAATTATTACTTTATCTCTTATTTTTCAACTTTTTATTGTTACCATTGGATAGGGGTGGAACAATTTTGGATATCCTAGAATTTCAGGCTATCCGGATCTAGTTCTGGAATCGTCGGATCAGTGGAAAATCCGGATATCCGGGCTCTAGATATCCGCCCAAAAATCAGGATATCCGCGGATATCCGGATCTGAAATTAATATTAAAAATAATTAAAATAAATAATAAATAAATAAAAATATATATTTTAAAATTATTAGTTAATATTTTAAATGGTGTTTTTTCATTATAATATAATTTATTATAAAAAGAACTAAAATCAATTTTTATATTTATATATTTATATAAAATTAGTTTAATAGATATATAATATATATGTTTTTAATATATTTAATGCGTCCGGATCCGGATTCGTGACCTCCGGATATCCGGACTCTAGATATCCGCCCAAAAACCAGGATATCCGCGGATATCCAGATCCGAAATTAATATTAAAAATAATTAAAATAAATAATAAATAAATAAAAATATATATTTTAAAATTATTAGTTAATATTTTAAATGGTGTTTTTCATTATACTATAATTTATTATAAAAAGAACTAAAATCAATTTTTATATTTATATAAAATTAGTTTAATAGATATATAATATATATGTTTTTAATATATTTAATGCGTCTGGATCCGGACCTTAAAATTTTGCTATCCGGATCCGGATCCTCTTTTCTAGATCATAGATTTTACTATCCTTATCCGGATTCGAACTCTCCAGATATCCTAATTTTCGGAGCGACTCCGAACGGATAACGGATCGGATCTCAGAGCCTGGATAATAATTTCACCCTTACCATTGGCTATTCAAAAGTATTACATTTTGTTTACAAAAATTGAAATAAAATTAGAAAATAAAATAATTAATTCAGACAAACATACATATATTTACTTTTGAAAAAATTAACAAAACAAATGTCTTGTAATTCATTCAATTA